ACTTTGAGTTGATTGACCTGTCCTGACGTATGGTTCGAGCCTGATTTCTGGTGCGTTACGGTTTGCTAATCGTTTCGCACGACCGGCTGCCATCGATACCGCGATACCTATGTGGTTAAGACACTCTCCCTGTGTGGCCTGCGTCTCTCTTTTTCCCTCTTTCCCTCTCTTTTTCCCCTTTGCTTATTCCAGCCCGCATTCCCTCGCGCCGCTTTCCTTTTTCCACCGTTCCGCTCCTGTTCCTTTTTTCCTTTTTTATCTCGTCGTTGCGCTTCACACTGCCAGAGGTCCTAGCATCTGTGTCTTCGAGCTGCCGCGAAACACCTTGGCATTCCTTTAAATGGATACTGCAGATGGTAAATCTATGGTTATGTTATGTGTGCAACATCCGCGTAATAATTATACAGGTGTGTTCATTGCATCCTCTGAAGAGTTAATCTATTATATTCGATAATAGCTTTTTCATATCGTCGCATAACTGTATAGTGGGTATAATCTTATCGAATAACAGCAACGTATTGGCAGTCGATATGTTTGTGTTCTATCGCATTATGGATTTCGGTACGCTTTACGATCTTCCTAATTATATAGCGTTCTGAGCTCATTCGTTTCTCTACGGTTTATACCGTCGTAAGATAACCTCAAAAATATATACACAGAATACCCGTCGAAACGTTTCAAGCATAGGTTCTCTGTTAAAGGTTATATTATGAAATTTTATTTTTGGCTATGAAATAACCAATCAGTTTTTTTTATAACGATAATTATCCAATTTTTGCCAGGGATGTTTACACAAGTTCTATTTATTTGCACGATATGTATAGTTATTATACGCGTATATATGTGTTTGTATTATATCTGAATCTTTCGTTTGTTATACACGAAGCTTAATATCACGAAATTAATATTTCAAAAATGATTTTGTTTATTGTCAACAGAATATGGTATCTTTTTCGAGAAAGATTAATTAAAGATACGATGTTAAATATAAAATATATAAATTTATTTTGCACAGTTAGAAAAATTATTCACATTCAAAACACAAGCATGAATATATTTATTTCGATCGAAGTCAATTATTAATTTTAGGTTATAATAGCATTATTGATATCAATCGAAGGTTTTATCATTTTTATTCTATAACTTACTCAAAATTAAAAATTTTTTCCAGTTTAATACACGCAGCTGAAGCTACAAATTAGATGATATAAAAATTGCGGAATTTTATAGAGTGAAAGTACGAGACAACAAACTATGTTTTATATTTATAATACTTCATAATTTATAAATATTAAATGATTGAGAATATAAGAATTGAGGAAGATTTATACAGCACTTTCTTTAAAGTAAATATATATACAGATAAGTGCTTGTATGCAAGAAATACGCAAAAATGCCTATAATAATTAAAAAGTCGAAATTCAGTGACTTTCTGTACGGTAAGCAAAAATTTTGAACGATCTCAGAAGATTCAAACTTGTTTTATATTATCTGTTATATTGCTTCTAGATATATTGATGCTTTGCTTAGTAATGTATTAAAAAAGTATAAAAATAATTACATCATTCTTGAGTTTTATCGTCGAGGATAAAAAACCCGCTCTCATTAGTAGGAAAACCGATTACTTCCTATCATGATGACATTCGAGTATATACAACGATTATAATTTTAAAGAAGCAGTAAATGTTCAAGGAAATAGTGAATTACATGTTGTAACGATAACAATGTTTTTTTGAATAATGAAACATTCAGTGGCGATAAAGATAAACCGAGGATATATTTGTGGTCGTTAAATATTTTTAACTGTAAATTATGGATTTGTTTACAAATGAAATAAATAAGACACAAAACGGGATTATATTTTTCTACAGATTGCTGATTGTAGGTAATATCATTTGAATACAACTCTTCCTTGATATGTACAGTTTCATTGAAGTATTTTTCAAATTTGTTGTATCAAAACATTATACATACATAGTCATCAGTAAAAAGTCAAAATACTTTTTCTATAATCTTAAAAATACTTTTGCTATAATCTTTCGTTGCACTGCGAGTTCAAATTAATATTCTGTTTATTATTTTTCAAAAGGTAATCTCTGCGTCACGGTTCAAAGTTGTATCTAAGTCTAGATTAGCACGATTCAAGCATTCTTCGAGATCAGAATTCTCGTTATATCTACGACATGGACTGAATCTTTGGAACTGAATTAAACCGCCTGGATTGAATCGTAAAGCCGATAATTCTTTGCCTCGATTTCATGGAATTCAAAGAGTTAAGATTTCACGGACACTTTCGTCTTCCTCGTATCGAAAGGTACACGACCTCCTGAAACGACTTCTGGAATTGCTGACTCTGTTAGAAGCACGTGGTGAACTGGACCACGAGGCCGCGAATGTACCGTTAAGCGTGCAACCGGCAAAAAGTCAAGTCATGACCAAAGCGGGCGTGTATGCTCGTTGCCACGTTCTTTACAACTTCGAATTTCCTGGTCAGCCCTGTTGGAACTATTGTCACTTCCTGCACACGGAACGTATCATTTGGGATGGGTCAAGTATGGATTCCTGACAACTTTGGTTCTGGTTACTGCCGTGTTTCCTACCAAGTGAGAGCCAGCACGACATAGCTTCGAAGAAAAACGAACGCTGACGTACAGATGTTTATTCAACTTGTATTTATTCTCTCTGTAAAAGGATTAACGCGCTTCATGAAGTCCTATAGACTTTCAAACTGACGTCAATTTAAATTACTTTGCCCATTGGAATAGAGACTCGTGTACAATAGAGACTACGCTCATGGTGACGTTAGTCTTGTCGTATTTTACGATACAAACAATTTACTTAGATTTTAGTCGTATGAAGAATATAGCTTGTTGCTATTATTAACCAGCTTAAGCAAGTTCAATTTAATATACAAGGTGTCTCAGAGTCTTTGCGTAATCCTCGTCACTGTGTGCAAGACTAAAATATCACGTAAAATGTCATAAGTTAATAAATACTTCATTGTAAAGTTGAAACAAGAAACTGAAACGTGAAGAATATATGGGGATAAGCGTGGACGATACTTCAGAATGCAATAACAAGTATGACGTTTAATTTTCTATATTTTTGTCATTTTTCAATGAAACATTTATGAACTCTTTGCTACATGATGGTTTTGTTTTATTTTTATTCACAGAACACATTGGGAAAGACTGTATCACGTAATATGCGAGGTATTCATTCACCGTTTAAAAATAGTAAAAGAAGTTTATATAAACATACAAGTCTTATTTGACCTTACTCCAATGATATGGCGAGTTTCGTGTTCATGATGTTTGGTACCTGATTACCTTCGCATAAGATAAAACGCTTACTTCAATACCTAACTAGGTCAAGACTACCTTGCATTTTTAATTATGCATGGTGGAAACCTTGTTCAATTCTATGGCCGTGTAACTAGGCAATGTTTAAACGAAAAATATTGAAAGAGATAAATCGAATGAAATTGAACAAGTGAAAGCCTGCACGTCTCCCAGACTTTCAAGCATTCGATTATAATTTGCAAAAACACTTGAGAACCACTGTGTACCTCATATTTATCAAAAATGTCGAAGCACTGTATTACAGAATTTAAAAGGGTTTGAAGAACTTGGAGTAACAGCTGGGAGCATTGGAATAGTAACCAGGACAATGACAAGACATTTACAGGCATGCCTTGAAAGACAAGGTAGTCATTTTAAGGTAGTCATTTATCTCCTATAAAGGTGATCAGATACTAAATGACAGCACAAAACTCGTTATTTCTTACAAACAAGGTCATATAAGATACCCGTCTATATGCCTCCTTTTCATTATTTTCAATTGCTAAATTAATCCCTGAAATAGGTTCCACGTACCATGGGAAACCCTATACGTGATAATTCCGGAAGTGGAGGATCGTGTTATTTACCTTAGCAAGTAATGCATACAAAAAGACACGAAAAGTAAATTAATTACATCTCTGATAAACAACTGTCTCTTAATAATTGGGAATACGTTACAACAGAAGTTCACACAATAATAACATACATTCACAGCTACAGGGTAATAAGCTACATATCCTCTAATTATAATAGTAGGCGATGTTATGTCCTTTGGTTTGTAATGAAAGCTTGTATCGAGTCATGTAAAGTACAACTATTTAATAATTACGATAGAACGACGTCCAATAACAGGTTCAATTTGTATTTTTCGTTTCATTATTTCGTAGCAAGCGGCAATTCCGAGAAAATGTTAATTGAACTGGGTCGCACACTTCATTAAAAAAGGAAAGTACTTTTACGAAGATAATGAGGAATTGCGCCAGTATGCAACCGTGTGTATACGGCACGTATGCCACGTACGGTTGCAAACGTAATGACGTTGCTCTTTGAACTCGAAGAAAACGGTTATCGCTGGTAGATGCGTGTTGTCACGCAGCAAGAATTGAGAAACACGAAAGAAAGTAAGAACGAGAAATTTTGGGAAACTAACTCGATCGTTGATCACCGTTATTAGGTAATAACTTTTGCTAGACATACACGAGTCAGATGTATTCAGTTATGCGATTTTTACTGTACAAGATAGGCCAGGATTACGAATATCCTTTCTCCTTTAATAATTTAGTAATTACGAACAAAGCTTGTTCGATTATCCAAAAGTATATTCTCTTCCGGTATAAAAGACGTCATGGTTCCATTGCTTGTTCCCTGATTTCACTCACATTTTACATGTCACTTTTCAGCGAACTGTATTTTCATCGCCCGAGGGATTACGTCATTGGGAGAGAATTCATTTGTGTATAACAAAGAAATAAAATTGGAAACGCGACGAATCGAAAGGTTTACAATCTTGTTTGCTATTGGATGCTAGCGACTTTTGATAGAGAGGTTTATCTAATTTCTAATGAGATTCGTTGTTTGTTTTAATGATAATAACTGTTCATTGCGAATCGTTTATATTTCGTCCTGGTAATAATTCTACTCGCGTCTCTTTTGTTGCAGATGCTTTCGAAACCACAGTGTTACTGAGGCTACGTCTGATCAAATAAATCGTGAGTATTTTATTACAAATATTTCCTTTGCTGGCTCGAAATTGTTTTAAATAAAGCATTCGAGCCTATAAATAGTAAAGACCGGCAGGTATTTGGTTTTCGTACTGCATACGAGGAAGGATTGCAGATTGTGTATTAAAATCTCCCTAACTTATTGGCCATGACCTAGCTCCACCTACGCGGCCGAACAAAACACTCCGAGACTGCTTTGCGCAGTACGCAGCTACTTAAGGTCTATTAACCGTTGCGTCTGTTTGCACATTAAGCGCAGAAGTGTACTCGTATACACGTCACTTGGATTTTAGATCGATGGAATTACCCATGGATTCTTACATTTCCATTTACAACTAAATTATTCATACGAGGGATTAGCTTGTAACTAGGTTATGTTATTGCATTTCTCCATTACAATTCCACGACGCTTATGTACATATGATATTTTCAGATTTCACTCGAACCGTGAATTTCGATTGACCTAACCTTAAAAATGGACTGGCTTATCTTCGTATTTGGTTAACTCACGTTCGTGCCTGCATATTATGCGATGCATGGAATATGGATAAACAACGATAGCAATTATTCGAATTATCGCCATGGCAGCAAAAGAGACCCGTTACTCGTGAATAGAAATCAAAGAAATTTAAGACACACAAAGAATGGTCTGTGCAATCGCGGTCGCAGGCTAATGTGATTACGATCGAGAAAAGGAGTTCAGTGCTCGTGCATTCCCGTGAAAGCTTCACGTACCGCACGACGACGTTTCTTCTTTCTGTCTGACGACCATGGTGTGCGAATATGGAAATTACCACTGACGTCATGTAATGTCGTCAATAGGCATAATATGCAAAATAATGCAAATAACTTGCCGAAAGTAATAGACTTCTCTTTACTCAATTTATGTATAGAACGGCCGGGCCGGTGGTTTAGTGATTCAATGTGACATTTAAAGATACAAAAACCAGTCGCCATTTTATCGCGTGTTTCCCACGTTCGTAAATGTTCTCGGGCCCGAGGTTTTCCGCGGAGAGCTTGTTTAAGTTAAGACACATGGAAATTTTATTGGACTCCCGCCTAAATCAACGTGGAATAAGTTACGAGATACAAATAAATCCGGGTCTATATTTATCCCAATGGGAAACAATTTTCGAGCCTTAATAATAATTAATAAGTTTCGATATGGTCTTTACGATTTATTCTTAGAAAGTTACATCGGGACATCGAAGATTTATGAATCGATAAATCATGAAATACGAAACTCGATATTGCTGTGTATAACACTGTGTTTTATGCAATTACGACTAAACAAATTTATTTTCTAATTATTCTACGAGGCAGGAAGATTCAAGTTCATTGTACGAATTAAATTGTCTTTTATCGTTATTTCTGCAGTAGAAGTTCTTAGGTCTGTGATCATAATAAAGCGCTAATAAGAGTTTCCAAGATAACTGTATTTACAATAATGATTCACGGTTGTTCACGTTGAGTTGGCAACGAAGCTTTGAAATTATCGAAGAACTAATGCAATCGTATGTACAGTTTCGAGACTGCCACATTTTAAATAAAATTTTCAATCTTTTCAATTTCAACGCAAATTTAGTTGATTAATGTATCATATACTACAGTCAGCGAAAGAAGTCAAAGTATTCTATCACTAAAGTGATTATTTTACAAATTAACATTGACAATGATATTCAGTTCTGTTCATGATTTATACAGGATTTATTCCACTGGTAATAGATCTAGAATAAAGGGACTAATTATAAATTCTTTTGTTTTTGGCAGGTGAGTCAGATTGAAAAATGCAAAGAACACTGTTGCTGTTATTCTTAACCCTCTTGAGTTATTCAGAACTCACCAATGGGCTCTGTCTGTTGGAAAATGGCACTGTAGCCCATTGCCACGAACTCGAAGACGTCAAATACATCGAGACCTATGACCTTGAAACGCTTAGGGCTAGCGAGCAGAATCCTGTCCTGCATCGCGGTTTCTTCGTCAACTTGACCACTCTCCGGCACTTAGACCTCTCTGGAGGTAACCTGGAACGAATAGAACCGGGAAGCTTCGACAAGCTGACGAATTTGAGGAGTTTGAATCTTGCTGAAAATCACATAGAACATCTGGAATTGGGCTCCGTAGACGGTTTGAATCATCTGCACAGTCTGAACCTTCGTAGAAACAGGCTTCAACACTTGCCGCCGGCTCTGGCTCGGCTGAAAGTTCTGAAACACCTTGACATTCAGGGCAATCCGTTGCAATGTAACTGCGCTACGCTTAGGGTGAGAGATCTGATCGTGAAGAGAGGCGTGAAAATCGCGAAGAAGGTCTCCTGCGCCGCGCCGAGTAACGTGAAAGGGACACCGTTGTTCAAATTGGACACCACGCTGACATGTCACCTCGAGGAGCAAGATCGCGAAATGCAAAATGACCAGGCGTTCCAGAATTCTGAGGAAGACTTCGGTTCCGGAGACTTATCCGACAAAGAGGGGGAGGAGGAGGAGACGAGTGGGGAATATGTACAGGTAACCGAAGCTGTAAAGGAATTGGAAAGTGAAACGCCATTCCCAGAGGTGTCTACATCCTCTACCGCTGAAGAAGCAGAAGTCCCGGCGCAAACAACGGATTCTGTTACAAAGACAACCAGCAAGGACGAAGAGATATTTTTCGATTCCGAGGAAAGGAAATCCGTCACTGTCTCGCAGCCTGTAAAAGAGTATAAAGACGCTCTGTTTCGACCGGTAGAAGGTTCCGGTGACGATGAAGGTTCCGGAGAAGGTTCGGGAACAGAAATGATTTTCAACTGGAGGAAAACCGGCGTGGTAGAGGAGTCAGAAGAGAAAGAAGAGGAATCGACCTCGGGCACTGGACTGTTAGATCTCGTCCTCAGTGTATTTATGACCACGACAAAAGCTCCAGTCACGAAAGTGGATCCTGAACTAGAGGAAGAACAATTCATCGACGCGTCTTCGACGAAAGGGGTCGAAGAGGAAGAAATCGTACCTAAAAAGGTGGACTCGAATGAAGCAGCACCAAGCATCACCGAAATACCGACTGATGCTAACTCGTCGACTCCGGTTAACGGAGTTGAGCTAGTTGACAACGAGTTATACGACATGACGAAATTAGGCAAAGTCAAAGCCGAAGACACGAGCGCCGAAAAGGACGAGGCGTCCCCGGCAAGGCAGTCGAAAAGAGGAATGGGCTCTTACATTGTCCTCGCTGCTCTGTTGGCAATCCTGGCAACGCTCATAGGGTTCGCAGCTTACAAGGGTGACTTTTGTAGGAAAAAGAGGAAACGCAGTGACGTTGAGAATGGAACGGAGCTGAAGGACATGCACAAGGCTTTATTGGAAACTGCAAACTCAACGCAGCCGAAAATAGCTTCGAACGGAAACGTGGAAAACGCTCCCTTCCTCGAAGATGCCACAGACGAGATAAAGGTTTCTAATGATCGCCAAGTCACGGCCGATATACCGAAATCTCCAAACGGTACTTCTGATCGCGCCGAACCGGTAAAACCATCACGATCAAACACCCCGCAGAACGATCAAAGAACCAGAGAGCCAACTGCTCACGATGGAAATTCTCTGAAAGATGATTCATTGTCTGCAAGGACGAATTCCATAGATCCGGTAGCTAACAGCAGTCCCATTGCTCGACTACCAGAGGTCAACCAACCTCCCTTAAGTCCCGGTGCTCAGAGAGTGAAGATCACTTTGCAAGAAAATCCTGACAGCGTACCAAGGACGCCTATACTCATCACAAGAACAACGGCTGGTGAGAATCTAGTCAAGTCACCATGAAGCTGACCCGATGGGTGTTGTTCAGATGAAAGTACGAATGCAGAGTATCAGAGAGTAAAGAGGAGATCGGTGTGACCGTGTGTTCCGATTTATAGGATTCATAATGCCGCCAGTGTTCCTAAATCCACGCCTGATGGCTCTTCACCGCGACGGATTTTTACGACAAAGTGAGACATAATAATACTATCTCCGAATTTGTGTTTTAAGTGTGAAATGGATTATCTATAGTGAAAGTCCACCTTTATAGAGTACAGTTCAATGACGACACGTTTAGTCGAGAGTAATAGGAGGAATGAGCGATTCTGTGAAACGAGATTGTACATATTTGCAAATAATAGTATATATATATATAAAATTTCCGCTATTTGTATAAGGTTTGTGGATGGTAAATATTTGATACATTTTATATACGTGTATGCAATATTAGCACACTAGTCAGTTCTCTTAAGCATTTTCCTGCTCGTGTAAACTTCCATGGAATTTCATTGCGAGTTCCATTAGAATCCTCTGAACTCGACATATACCATTATTGTTTCAACATAACGTTAATGACGATATATATGTAACTGTAAGAGTATACATATTTAACGCTGCAATCTTCCTAACTGGTTGAATATATATTTTCACACGATACCATGTTTCTCGTTGAATTGTTCTTGAGACGTACTATAATGTGCTGATAGCAGACAAATGTTTCCTTTCGTGATACTAAACGTTCTTCTGGAAGAAAATATAAGAGTTTGACTTTCGCTAGCGAAACTTAACACTTAATAATAATAAAAAAAAATTAATTTATATAAAGTCTATATTGTATTGTATTTATAATAATCATTCCAGATTAATCATATCATCCCTTATAATAATACTTATCGTCGTGCGGACGATGATGAATAAAATATCGACATAAAATAAGGTAATATAATGTGAACGTAATTTATAGGTAGCAATAAGCAGTATATTTCGTTCTGAGATAGAGCTATACCTTCAACATTTTGACCATGAAGCACTAAACGTTTGCTTCCTCTCTTTTTAGAAACCTTTAAATTACTAAATGACCTTTGTACGAAAATTTCATGAAAATAAATATTATTAACTTGTAAGTATAATCTGTATATTAAAACGTTATAAAACGACAACGTCGAGTGTCGTTCAAATATCTATTTTATTGTATCGAAAGTAATGGGAACTATAGCAAGCATTGAAAAGGATATGAAAGACAATTGAAAATAGACTAAGTGACAACCAATTTGGCATGATCGAGTCATTAAATTAAGTGATAGAAAGACCAATAAATAATTAATTGCAAAATAAACACTAGATATTTTTCCCATCACTTTTCTTTCATTTACTTCTTTTACGTCAAATTTCTATGCGTTTCTGTAGACCAAATGCGTGAAATACTAAAGTATTTGTCATTAAGACAGGGCAAATCCCCTTGTGAAAATTTCTTCCAAAGAAAACACATGCATCCTCGTATTATTGCACTGTATAGGATTGTTTGTTGAAGTACGAAGCGTTTCTGTTTAAGCGTTTGGTTTAACATGCATGGGGAATCATCTCATTGATACTGTGATTAGCACTGAAACGCTAGAAAGGGGTAATGTTCGATCCTTCGTGATATCATCTACGTGTCACCGTTATTTTCGCCATTTACTTTGTTTCCTAGATAAGTTTCTTTTTCATGCAACATTTATAAGATATTATGCATTGTTATGTATAGGTACGAATTGTCTGATAGCGAGTATACAGTTAAAACAATCGTATCGATATATTTTTCAAGCGTTTATAATTTCAGCAATGGATGCAAAATAAACTATTAATATTTATAAAATACTCGTTTGTTTCCATTAACGATTAACGATCCTGTTATAATATCACTGTTTAATACTACTTTTAGTTAGAGTTAATTATAAATAATTGATATGTGACAGAAGTATAATTAGTAACATAATAAATTAATTGTTTCCAGTGTAAAAATAATTATAATTATTTAATATCATTTGTTTTAAATATTATACTATATTACCTATTATTTTAAAAATATATTGTGGTATAAAATGCTGAATTTTTCAGGTACAAGTAATAACTTCTTCTTCATAAACAATCCCATTTGTCGAGTTTCCAAATTGCTACAATGTACTTGACACGATTATTAATGGACTTATAACACGCTCCAAGTTCTTCCCCAGGGGATGATAAAGTTCTGGTGGATCAGCTTCATCTGGTATCTGGAAATAGCCATCATCAATACGGATAGTAAATTTTCCTCCAGGCTCATTCTTTAAATTCTCACATCCGCAATGGAATTTTTCATAGCAACTCTGTACGGTCCGTTCATTAACGGTACTGAAGTTAAACATACTTACACGAAACCTCCACGAAACCGTATACCACGTGTACATTCATTACCTATTCTAATCTTTTTGTAGTATATTTGATGTTTGTTTTTCACCATAGCAAATTGTTTGTCGTCCAAGATCTATTTCGAAGCATGTACCCTAAAATAAATTATTGAACAAATAATTAATAAAAATTAATTATTACATAATCTCCATCAAAAAATAGTAATCATAAGGACAACAAGGGTCGTTCTATTAAATATTAACACGATGATGAAACATATGTTCCTTATTTCCAATTTTTTAATAAAAAGAAAGGAAAAATGCAGGCCATATATTTGTTAAGGATAAAACCATATCCTCTATAAACTTCATCAAAATGAGCTATTAACAGAACCCACCCTTATAAATAAACATTAACAGTAATTAATACAGAAATATACCCTCAGTGGACCCATCTAATGTCATATAAATTCTTCACTATTTGTAAAATTATTTTTAATTTTACCTACATGTCTTCATTACCTGTATTTTGCTCAGATGCAATCTCGTTGTAGCAATTCGGGTCCAACGGCCTTAGTTAAGTGTTCCAGACACAAGCGTTTGGATCTCTTCGTGATGGACTATATATCCGACGAACATTAAAAATTTATGTAGTATATTATATCCATGGAAAATGCATATATTCGAATAAAAATGTTTATTCGACGATATCAATTACTACTTAAGGGGCTCACATCTTTCTGGAGATCTATTAGAATTATCTTCGCTTCATGTGCTACGATAAATGATATGTTATTGCTGAAATTATTGCCTACAGTGCCAGGCTGACTCTAATCATTCTCAAGCTGCTATGAAATTACTGTAATTTTATACTTCCATGTTCCCATTTAGTTAAATTTCGATACATAAAATATACGTCCACAAATGGAGCATGATCCAGAAAATACACAAAAAATTAATCAATAACGAATTGCATTTAATGTTCTTACACGTTTTACTCGTATAAAATTTTTTTACGATAAGAAATCGATCCTACACGATATTTCGATCTTTTTGTTAAGAAATTTCAATTACTTATGTGAACGTATCTTCTTCGAATTAATTTTATTCGTCATCCTCATTTTCCAATTTTTATTTTTCTTATATAAATATGTAAGGTGTATAAAAAATTGTAAGCAGGCTTTAAGAAAAGATTGCAACTTTAATTACAAGGAACATTTGTTAAATATGAAAATATGCGCGAATAAAAACTGTCTCCAAGAGTAGACATGGTATGACATATATACAAGATTTCAGTAAATTACAATACTTTAAAATTTCCTCGTTCAACGAAAATTATAAAAGAATCGCAGCTGGGAGATTCTTTATATTTTGTTTGTTTTTTGTAAATTAATTAATTACTCCTTGTTAATAAATAATACGCTTCATTGATAATTGCTACTATAATTTGTATCACTTCAAATGATCATTAAAGCATGCTCCGCATTACCTTCTAACCTCCAAATTTCTTCAAACGATAATACTCCTATAATACTCCTAACGACTACAACTCGTCGTCTCTGTATACGTTAAATACATAAATGTAACAAAATATGGTAAAATCTGAGTTTCCACTGTTAACTTTTTGGGTAGAAGATTGTTGAAATATATTTTTGTTGCATGATCTAATAATTCGTAACGGTAGTTAAATATATGCTTTGTCTTTATTTTATCACTTCAGCAACGAAAAGGTGTCTGATTGTTCAAAAAAACAATGATAGAGTGCTCTTACAGCAGTATTTTTTCGTTAATATTAATTAATTCTAGTTAATATCTCTTGATGGTAAGGTAGTGATCATGATCATTCCGAGTAGAATGTATATTTTGTTAAAAAAATGTGTTTATACAATGACCGATGGGGTCTTCAGGAATCTTGTTCTGTTGCAGATTCTCTATAACCACTTCTAGGTTCTCTTCGAAGTTCTCTGATAGCGATTGATCTACTTGAACCAACTGGCTGGACATCTGAATCTTCGTCATCGGTTGAATGCCCATCATAAACAGTACTTCTTTGTCTTCTCTTTCTTGAACTTGGTGTTTGCGGTCTAGATCGAATTCTTCCGCTTCCTGAATCTACGGAATCGCTTATCACACTGTACCTTCTAGATCTGCGCGTCACCTGTGTTTTGGGTATTCTTTGATTTTGTGGTAACACGGTTTCATTGTTACCGACGGTGATATTTCTTTCCCTTCTGATCCTATCTTGTCGTCGCCCTTCCCGTCTGAGTAAATCATCCTCACTCTGAATTCTCTTTTTCGGTCTTCTTGTTCTTCTGTGTTTCGGTCGTATGTTATCGACAGAACCCATAATGCGCATAGAAGATCTTCCTACTGAAATTTCGTCCAAATTGTCCAGAGATCGAGCTAGTCTTGGCATCTGAACAGCTTCTTCGTAAGTGGGTGGCTCTACTAATTCGAGTGGGTGGATCCTCGGTTCTGGTGCACGTTCGATATGCAATTCTTCCTGTACAACTTGGTTCCTGTTAAATAATTGTTAGTTGTTCATTATTGCTTTTAAGATAAAAATTATAAGAGTATTAACAATAAATTTCTCAGATGAAAGGTTAATTTAATTAGAATAATTTAATGCAGTATCACATGGAAAGTAAATGCGAAAGCAATTCAATATTTTATGTTAAACATTGTCAAAATCATTTGAATGTCTGTAATAATAAATTGAAATGTATTATACCGTTAAAGATAACTACACATGCATTTATTTGTAACGTGTGATATTTTAATATATCGGTAATAAATTTCTATTACACTATGAAGATAAAGTAGATTTCTAATTTCGGTGTAGATAAATTAAACCAAACATTTTTTATACTTTCAAATTATGTATGAGGTTCTAATTTTTTTAATATGAAACTGCCCATAAATATATAATGCGTTTTGTGTGTGAATTCTTTGGAAAGAAATTTCTTACCTTCGTTGCCTTAACAATCTTAAAGATTCCAACTGTTGTCTCTGTTCCATGGCTCTTCTTTTAATTCTCATCAGGTGTCTGATAGATACGAAGCTACCAAGGAGAATAGTGACCGTAAGAAGAATGATCATCACAAAGCCCCACGTTTTGTCCTTATTGTAATACAAAGGTTCATTCCACATGTCGAAACATGCACTTAACCAAGTATAACCGGATACATTCGCTGGACTTTGACAAATTAAGCTTTGTTCTACAGTCTTCGCTGGTGGTTCCATCAAGAAAGAATATAGCATGAATAGATCGTGACAGTCACAACGCCATGGATTGTCTTCCAATTTTATGATGTTCAAGTTTGGATTGTTTCGAAAGATTTCTGGATTTATAGCATCCGTTAATCGGTTTCCTACAAATTTTGAAATTAAGGTTAGGTTCTTGTCTTTAATTCCCCATTATTTATTCTTAAGAAATTAATGCACTTTTAATTAATCAATTAATGTTATCTTGAAAACAATAAATCAGATATTTGGTATTTCTTTTTACTTTCATATGATAAGTATAACAAACAAAATTTGAAGTTGATATTAGTAAGATGGATAATTTCTTAATGTTTTACTCAGTGATAAGATTTTCATTTTTTAGGAAACTGATGAAAATTTGATAGATCTAGTGCTTAAATTTTATAAAACTTTATAATTTATATCGTAGATAAGTTATCGATAGATGGTAAAAGAGGAACCTGATAAATCGATCCTAATAAGACGTGGTAACTCTAGAAACGTGTCATTATACACTTCGACTAGTCTGTTTCTCCTTAAATCCATATTCTTCAATGTCGTGGATTTCAGTCCAGGAGGAATCCATTGTAACCGATTGTCACTCAAATTGATGCTTCTTATTCTCGGCATGTTTGTCAGAAAATTTCCTTTCATTTCACTGATAAAGTTTGACGACGCGTCCAACGTTATCATAGTCGATGTAAAGTTCGGAAACTCGGTTATGGCGTTGAAAGATAAATTGAGCAATTTGAGTTCCACGTTTTCGTGAAATGTCAACGGATGAATCGCTTCCAGACCATTGGCCGATAAATCCAGTACCTGAAGCTTCACCAACCCTTCGAAGGTACTCATATTCAGCTTCTCAATTCGGTTCGCATTTAGATATAGAAAACCGAGTTCTCTATTTTTAGCGAAGATTCGATCCGGCAGTATGTTTATCATATTACGAGAGAGTCGTGCTTGAGTCAAGGCGGGAAATCCGTGAAGGCCCGGCCTGTCCAAATTGCATCTTGACACGTCTAGTTTTTTTAGATTTTCATGTGTTAATGTGGAATGCCTGAAAAATAAATGTAAATTGAAAATTCATCCAAAATATGTACAGTAATTGTAATAACATATAGTATGTATGCAAAATGCGGTAAATCTGATATTCTAACCTCGTTTTATAAATAGTAAATTTATAAAATCTGTTATTAATATTATACACGTTGTAACTTATTATTTTCTTTCACAATCACTATGTTTCTTCCAAATTTATTTAACTTTAAATTCTTGACTCCTTTTTTACAATGACTTATTATGTATATTTACACAAAATCATGCTAGTAACTAATAAGTAAGTAAATGCTAAACTGAACGAATAGTGAAATAACAGGAACGTACATAGCGAGAATTTAATTGGTATCATTTGAAATTCAAAAAATAATTTTTTTTTTGTATTTATCGATAAAATTTATGAACAAAATAATATTTGCGAAATGATTAATTTTTCTAACTGTGATTTATCTCGAAATATTTCTCGCTGTTGAAAGAATAGTTTCTGCTTAGAATTTCAATTGCTTGCCTCATACTGTAGACTAAAGTAGGATTGTTGGACATTCGAAGCTCCTCAAGCGCTGGAAATCCATTGAAAGTATCGGGTCTTAAGTAATTTAAGAGGCAGTCAGACATATCGAGCCACTGTAATTTCGGGCTCCACGTTTTCTGAATGAATTTCAACGGGTTTCCTATTAAGCTAAGCATAGTTAGCGATGGTAGCCCATCCAGGGACGTATTACTGAGTTCCGGCACCTCTGTAAATGGTAATGCTATTAGTATCGTTTCGATCAAACCTTATTATTATGATTCAAATTTTTTTTTTTAAATTAACAAATTATATTTTTATATAGAATAAACATTTTTCTAAAAAATTATATTACAATGTACAATTCAAATTTATTTTTCTAAAAATTATGCTACGTATATAAAAATAAAATTGTTTTATGAAATTTATGATTTACTCGAATACGATCAATATTTTCTTCTGAAATTATGTTTTTGAACGGAATGAAAATTTATTTTTGAAATTATATTATTGTATGATATAGAATTTTTCTTTCTTAACTGTGATACATTGAAACGGAATTACTTTCTAAAATTAATTAGCAATTTGCTTATAGTTGACATTTTTTTGAAAAATTATTTCTTTATATAGAATTTAAATTTCTTTCCAAATTATATTACCATGCGGAATTACGATATCTTTTTGTATTAAATTCAAAATCATATCTATAATATAAAGGAATATTGCAAATTCCAAATTAGGACAGAATTAAACAAAATTTTCTTTTTATTTAATTCAAAATCATATCCATAACATACAAGAATATTTCAAATTTCAAATCATACATAGAATTGAACAAAATTTTTTGAAATTCCGTATTTTAAAACATTATTTGACATATATAAAGGATTAATATTAACAAAAATTATATTATATATAAAATAAAAATTCGTAAATATTTAAAATTTTTAATAAATTTCTGAATCTTCGAATATTTCAAAGTATTAAAAATTTTTGTAAAATGAAATTTTGGAATATATATATTTAGATAAAAATATTTTTATACCACAGTGGCCAGCATCCAGAGCCTCAAGACTGGGGCTTATTAGTCCCTCCAAATTCTCTAATGGATTCCTCGCCAAAAGCAGAACAGTCAACGATGGTAATTGTCCTATGGAGCTCACATCAGTGACACTTTTTATATCATTCCCGCTAAGATCCAATTTCCTCAAGCTCCTCAGCGAGCTTAGATCATCAGGCAACGAACTCAGCTTATTCCTCGCTAAATTCAAATACTGCAACTCGACCAGTCGATTAATGTCACTGGTAATATTCGTCAGTATATTATTAGACAAATTTAATTGCTCCACCTGAAACACAATTAAAAGCCAACTCAATTACACCTGGCAATCCAAGATTCATTCATGAAACTGACCTAGGGTACCAACAGAAAGGTAAATACAAGGAGGAAAGAATTTTTCTCCAAATTTAACGTCCTCCTTTATTCAAAAAATTTCCAATTTTAACGAAATATTGTAAAGAGGCATAAAGCATAATCAAAAACTCAGTTACACCTTGTAATCCAAGATACATTCATGAATCTGACCTAGGATACCAACAGAAAGGTAAATACAAGAAGCATATAATTTTTCTCCAAATTTAACGCTATCCTTCATTCAAAAAATTTCCTATTGTAATAAAATATTGCAAAGATACATAAAATACAATCAAAAACTCAGTTACACTTAGTAATCTAGGATTCAGTCATGAAACTGATCAATGACACCCATAGAAAGGTGATCATGAGGAGCAAGGAACAGGTTTAACTAATTTTTCTCCAAATTTTATGCTATTTTCTATTCAATAAAATTCCTGCTTTAATAAAATATTGAAAAATGACACAAAACACAATTGAAAACTAAGTTACACTTAATAATCCAAGATTCAGTCATAAAACTGACCAATGACACCCACAGAAAGGTGAAAACAAGGAGCAAGGAATACCAGGAAACAGGCTAAGCTAATTTTTCTCCAAATTTAATGCTATTCTTCATCCAAAAAATTTCCTATTTTAATAAAATATTAGAAAATGACACAAAACACAGTCAAAAGCTCAGTTACACTTGGTAATCCAAGATTCATTCATGAAACTGAGATGCATTCCAAGATACAACCAAGATACATTCATTAAACTAATTTTTTTCATTAAATTTATCCCAATCCTTCATCCAAAAAATTTCCTATTTTAATAAAATATTAGAAAATGACACAAAACACAGTCAAAAACTCAGTTACACTTGGTAATCCAAGATTCATTAATGAAACTAACCAAATACACCCACAGAAAGGTGAAAACGAGGAGCAAGGAACACCAGGAAGCAGGATAAACTAATTTTCCTCTAAATTTAACGCTATCCTCTATCCAATAAAATTCCTATTCCGATAAAATATCAGAAAGTGATATAAATCGGTGATTTCCTGTATCCTCGATTCCCTATCTCTATCTCTAACTAGAATCAATCTCGAGAACCCAGTGGAACACGCAGCTCCATGTGAAATGGTGCTGCGCACTCGACACGTTGTCCAGTTGCACGTAGAATGAAAAATTCTAACTGAAAAAGAAACTCTGCCAGATAGGCACTGTTCTCTGAGATATCTGGAGGATACTTATTCCATTCCACACCGGCACATTTACACCAATGACTCATTGCGAGCGTTCTCGATGATGCCTGCGATAAAGCATAGGAAAGGTCTGTTAGACCGCCATTTCTTCGACACTCGCGTGCACTGGTGAAATGGAAGGCTATGGATCGGTTGGAAAGCATGGAATCCCGACGGGATTTACCCACCATGTCGCTTATGTCTTCAGGGAACACTTCTAGGCCTTGCTTGGAGCACATGACGGTCCTGGGCTGCTCGCTGAGCTGGCACAGGCACCTCGTGGGACAGGTACCTTGGCATAGCGCGATCGAGAAGATTCCTAGGTACGTGGCCAATAGAGACAGCGAACCACCGTGCGTCATCATCCGATCCTTCTTGTTCTCTAATCGCCGAAATTCTCCCATGGAAGTCACATTTTCACCGGACCATGGGCCCGCGCGGACATGTCAGTGCAGCCACCGTAAGACGCTCGTGGTGGGGTCTCTGGTGTCCATTTTGCGAGGAAATTTCACAGGTTATTGGAAGAGAGACGCAGTTTCGTGGATTAATTAGCGAGCACGACGGTACTCCGAACCGTCCTGGAAACTACTGAGTACTTATCTTTGATAAGTAACGTGGGATATGCCGCATGATATCTCTGTAAGATAACTCGCGCGTACGGCGAGGTGTCCGGGGTATTATTCCCGGTGATAGTAGGAGAAAATTGATGTGATATATCGACGGATGCACCTGCGAAAACCTGCTACGAAAATGTAACATGGATTTGCTAACGAGTTTGGGGAGTTTGAATTTTCTTCGGGTATATGAAATTATGGGAAATGTTAATATTTGACTATTGATAAGTGGGAAGTAACGAATGTTCGTGCGGGATTAATGATGAATGTACTATAGATACGCGAGGTACAATATTCTTTCGGTTGTGGCATAGTGTCATGTATATTTGCAGTTATACGTGTATATTATATAGGAATATCTACAAATATTTACAGCGAGATATATACAGAGAGATAATGTATAAATTTATACATAAAGATATACATAAATATAATAGATAAGTAGATACATAAATGTAATATGTAAATTCATTCATAAATATATATACATAATTTATTATATTGTAA